CCCCCCCCCCAAATTCTTATTCCTGGGCAGCTCTGATTGACGAGAGGACAACAAACGAGCGGCTCTGATAAGACGGACGGGGTGGAGAACCCTACCGTCATCCCCCGAACATAACGCACCCTAAAAATGAATGTATACAAGATATATTTCCGGCCAGATGCAGCCAAAATGAGGGTGCGTTGCGTTCGGGGGAAGACGGTAGGCAGAGAGGGAGAAGAGGACAAGGACAACAAACGAGAGGCTGTGACATCACGCCTCACCGGTGAACCCTAGGCAGAGAGGGAGAGGAGGGCACAACAAACGAGAGGCTGTGACATCACACACATCCCTACACTATTACTGTAAAATAAAATTGCTATGGAACAATTCTCGAATCGGGGCCTTCCGCAGTTGGACGGGGCACGGCGCGGGTCGTTGCAAGAATGGAACCATAACCGAATCGAGTCGTCGCGTCCCACCGAGTCGACGGCTTGGACACCACACAAGAAAGATAACGTTCCTCCCATGGAACATCTCACATGTACCAGGTGAACTAGCTACCGCACAAAGGAAAAAACAAAGTTCGTTGGTAGTCCCTCCTGAATTCTTGCAAGCGAAGCTGCAACGGGTCATCTAGTATATATGTATATATAATTATATCTCGTCGTACATGCGTACAAACTACATAGGTATATCACATATATCCTCGAGGGGAGTGGCTGGTGCCCAACTGTAACTGGGGTTAGGGTGGGTTACCTTTTCCAATGCAATAACGGTTAAAGAACTCTGCAAACTGTAAAGGGAGGGTTCAGCCTCCTGACGAATCAGTCGGTGAAACTGCGACGAAACAGTCTGTCACAACCCCTCTCCCTTTCTTGCCTACCGTTCACCGTGTCGCTCCCCCTGTGACTTTGTCCTGGGTGGTCTTGTCCCGTCGTTTGGCCTGTGAAGGAGGGGCGGTGCTTGCGTGTGGGACTTCTCATCTAGGATCAGTTTGCGTGTTGCCCCCTGTTTTGATGTATTTGGCTGTTCCCTTCCTCTTTTCTTTGCCTCTTTGCCTCTTTGCCCTTTGGCTGTGTGGAAGTGGGTCGATGTGACACACGGAGGTGGGGGCAGCCGCTGCTCAACCTACATCCACGTGGGCGGCCTTGTACGCAAGAGGTTCTCAACAAGAAGATAAAAAATGAATTGATATCTTTTTTGTTCCCTTCTGTTTTTTTCGCTTTTGCGCTCTGATAACTTTGTTACAATATATGTAATAATATATATATATACATATTTCCTTTTTTTGTTTTGTCTTTTTCCGCCTTTGCGCTCCGATTCACAGTGTGACAATATATATTGTGTATATTTGACGATAAGGATATAGATCGAATCCACAATCTCCCCCCCCCTCCCCCTCCCTTGGAACGCCAGATCTCTAACCACTGAGCTACCGCGTACTTCTTTACCAACTGGTTATCCCGAAGGCAAAGCACCAGGCATGCGGCAGGCACAGACGTGTGGACGATCGGAATTGAACCCACGACCTCCTTTTTTTAATTTTATTTTATTTTTATAGCTGATCAACCCGAGGTAGTGCTAGGGGTGCTGACCTCCTAACTGCCGTCCTACCAAGTGAGCTACACCGTTGATAAATCCCGAAGGCGAAGCACCAAGCATGCGGCAGGCACAGACGTGTGGACGATCGGAATTGAACCCACGACCTCCCCCTTTCGTTTCTTTTTTTTTCTTTTTTTTAAGCTGATCAACCCGAGGTAGTGCTAGGGGTGCTCACGTCCTAACTGCCGTCCTACCAAGTGAGTTACACCGTTGATAAATCCCGAAGGTAAAGCACCAAGCATGCGGCAGGCACAGACGAGTGGGCGATGGGGATGGAATGGATTCCATGACCTCCTGAATGCCGTCTTATTAACTGAGCTAGACCCTAATAAGGCAATTGCTTGAGGAACACGGTGAGCGGCCTGGAATCAGCTCCACGTCAACTCAGTCTGGGGTCCGGTCATCTGGAGGGCACCCAACAGTCTTGGAAAAAATTCCCATATCCGGAGCATACCTTCTTCCCCCGAATAGAACTCACGGTCATTATCGAAAGGGGAGGGTGAAGGGGGCAGGAGGGGGGGAAAGGGCCAGGGGGGAGAGGGCCTTTGTCTGCTAAAGCCAACACAAATGCAGGCCAGCGAAGCTGCTACTACCGTCCGTCTGACTACCGGTAGGGGGTGAACCCCAGCCTGCAAAATAAAGTGCAGGTTTTTATTTGGGAAAAAAAAAAGAGCGATCCGCTTTAAAAAAAGTGCTTATTATAATATTATTCTTTCGCGCGCAAATCTGCGAGAGATGTTGCCATCTGGGAAAAGAAACGATTATCTGGTCTTTACTCCTTTTTCAGCTGCAAAATCTGCTAAAAAGAAAAAAGAAAAAAGAAAAAAGAAAAAAAAAAGGTGCAATCTGCAAAATGTTTATTTGCTATCATCTCCATTCCCAACGTTTGCGAAATTCTGTAAATAATGTGCAATCTGCAAAAAAAAAAAAAAAAAAAAAGCAAAAAAAAAGAAGCGTTTATCTGCTTTTTTTTTGGTGGCTTTTTTCAGCTGCAAAATCTGCAAAAGAAAGAAGAACAATGTGCAGTCTTCTTAATGTGCATTTGCGCACTCTGCAAATTACTGTTTATAAGATTAGTGAGCAATCTGCAAAAGAAAAAAAAATGAGTTTTTTTTTTTTTGTTTTTTTTTTTGTTTTAAAGAAGCTTTCATCTGGTTCTTTTTACGTGCTGTAAAAATCTGCAATTCCCTCTCCCCCCCCCCTCCCTTTTGACCTGTCTGCTTTCATCTTCATTGAATGCCCCTCCTGTGTCCTGTGATTTGCTTTGCCACGTCGTATGCTTCTCCACATATAAACAAATAAGATAATATAATATAATATATTTATTTATTTATTTATTTTAATGGGCCTGGCCGGCAGGTTGGAGAGTATATAGGTGCGACGATGGAGGGATTGCCGGCAGCAGCAGCAGCAGCTTCGAGGAGTGAGCAGCCGAATGGCGCACAAGGGCAGCAGCAGGCGGCAGACAACGTGGACGTCGAGATCGAGACCCAGAAAGCTTTGGCCCTCCAGGAGGGCAAGCTGAATGAGGCGGTGGATAATCTACTGAACCTAGAGAAGCAGTCGCGACTTGCGGCCGATGTGGGGACCACCAAGAAGCTGGCCGTGGCGATCGTGCAGTGCTGTTTCGCCGCGGGAGCATGGAAGAAGCTGAACGAACAGGTAGTGCTGCTTTCGAAGAGGAGAGCGCAGCTTAAGCAAGCGATTCAAGCCGTCGTGCAAGAAGCGATGACGTATATTGACGCTTCCCCGGATCTGGAGACCAAGGTGGAGGTAATTAAGACACTAGTGAGCGTGACAGCTGGCAAAATCTACTTGGAGATCGAACGCGCGCGCCTTTCTCGGAAATTGGCGGGAATCAAGGAGACCCAAGGGTTGATTGCAGAGGCCGCGGACATAATGCAAGAGGTTGCCGTTGAGACGTTTGGCGCCATGGCGAAGACGGAGAAGATTGCCTTTATTTTGGAGCAAGTGCGGCTGTGTCTGGACCAGAAGGATTTCGTTCGAGCACATATATTAGCGAAGAAGATTAACACCCGCGTCTTTGTAGACGAACCGGTGAAGAAGGAGAAGAAGAAAGGTCGGGGAGGTCAGGACAGCGGCGATGGCGTCATGGAGGTTGCCGGTGCTGATATCCCCCCCATGATGGAGCTGAAGCTCATGTACTACCAGCTAATGATTCGGTATTATGCTCATATGGGTGATTACCTCGACATTTGCCGCTCGTATCAAGCAATCTACGAGACGCCATCGATTCAGGCGGATCCTTCTCAATGGATTCCGGTGCTGAAGAAGATCGTATGGTTCCTTGTCCTGTCGCCACATGGCAGCATGCAGTCGAGCTTGATGCACTCGGTTATGGCCGACAAGAAGCTGGCTGAGCTCCCCAAATTCCATGCCCTTCTGAAGCGCTTCGTGACGATGGAGGTGGTGCGCTGGCCTGTTCTTGCTGAAGAATACAAGGTGGAGATGGAGGAAGAGAGTAGTATTTTTGGCGCGCAGCTTCTTGGTGATGATGGCGCCGATGGCGGCGATGGCGGCAAAGCTCTCGCCGACCTCCGGCAAAGAGTGGTGGAGCACAACATCCTCGTGATTTCTAAGTACTATGCCAGGATCACTCTCAGAAGGCTGTCCGAGTTGCTCGCCCTTCCTAAAGAGGAAACTGAACGCCATTTGACGGAGATGGTCGTCTCTAAGGCGTTGATTGCCAAAGTCGATCGGCCCGCCGGCATCGTGAATTTCCAAATCAGGAAAGATAGCAATGAGCTGCTCAATGGCTGGTCCATGAATATCGAGCGCTTAGTGGATCTTGTTGAGAAAAGCTGTCACCAGATTCACAGGGAGACCATGGTTCACCACGTCAACCTAAACACCGTGCTTTGATGGATATAAATCAATTTTTTTACGTTTTTTTTTTTTTGTTTTTTTTTTTGGGAAAAGAATTGTTCGTTTTTCCGACTTTTGAACACGATGTTTTTTTTTGTTTTTGTTTTTTTTTTCCCCCAAGTTCCTCTCCCTGGCCCCACCCCCTGAACTTCTGAACACGGTACTCCCACGGCACTTATGCAAGCCTTGATCGGTCCGCTCCAATGATGAATTTAGGGTTCGGATCGTTAAAAGAAAAAAAAAGAAGGCAAAAAAAAAAAAAAAAAAAAAGGAAAGCCGCTGGCTGAGTATATACCCGTATAACCATTTACGTATGATGATGTGTTCATACGGATGTGTATAGCTTGTAGACAGACGGGTCCCGTCCGTGTCTTTTTTTTCCTTTTCCTTCTTTTTTTTTTTTGGTTTGGATTCCGTCTGTCGATTTTTAGCGAGGGAGATGTTTTTGCTAACCTTCTTTGTTTTCTCCAAACAGCTTTTTTTTTTCGCTCTTTTTTTTTGTAATTGGGACTTGGTCCCAATGCCTGAGGATACCTC